ACGAGCTATGGACCATAGCTGTCAAATTATTTTAACACGTACTCTTAAGTAGATAATTATTTTGTGGTTGTGGCCAGATTAGATCTATTTCTATTTTTCCAGCGACAGATTAGGTTCTTCCTCTTCTTTTATGTCAAACTCCTAAAAATTCATGATGTCACCGAAGCATTCAAAAAAATTATGTCGTCATCAAATTAATCAGATTTTATTTTTAATTGGATTAACGATTAATGTTTTAAATTAATTAAACGTAATCGCAGCTAGCGATTAACGTCAAACGCGATTAACATTTTAATCGTTAATTTTTAATCGTTAATCAGATTAACAGTTTGCCAACACTGTGTGAAATCATGTTCATATTCGCGGAGAAAAATGGAGGTTTTTGGAAAAGAGGCGTAGCACCTCCCATACTGACTGAAAGTTTCATATTGCATATCTCTTCAAATGTTTGGGGTAAAGCTTGGTATGGAAATATATATGTACGTATGTATGTGAAACTAATACATACTCACGGAGAAAAATTAGAGTTATTGGAAAAGGTGGTGTGGCAACTCCCATGCAAATTGATTTTTCTATGCTGCATATCTCTGGAGGTGTTTATTGCAGAGGACTGGAACTTGGCACCGAGATGTGTATACAAAATTAATTCCATACTCATGGAGAAAAATTTGCGTTATTCGAAAATGGGACATGGTTCCTCCCGTATAAATTTACTGTTTTATACTGCTTATCTCTAGAGGTGTTCATGGTAGAGTACTGGGACTTGGTACTGGGGTATGTAAAATCAATTCTAAATTCATGGAAGAACATTAGGGTTATAAGAAAAAGGGGCGTGGCACTTCCAGTACAAATTTACTTTTTCTTGCCACATATCCCTGGAAGTCTTTGTGGAAGAATACTGGAACTTGGTACGGAGTTGTGTATACAAAATGTATCAATTGCTCATGGAAAAAATGTGAGTTATTAAAAAAGAAGGCATGTCGCCTCCCATACATACTAAAAACTTCTTAATACATATCTCTGGAAGGATAGAGAATCTCTCGAAGTATTTTAAATTTGTTATGGAGATTTATTTAATAAGTGCCGTACTGACAGAATAAATTTCATTAAATGGAAAAGGGAGAGGCGGGTTCGGCCTTATAATCTAAAGCTCTATTGAGGCATTTGCTACAGTAATGAGAAGTGGTATTTTATCAAGGCCAGGTTAGTAAATTTGAATTGGAATTATTAGAAGCCGCCGTGGCACCTCCAAGAAGGTTACACGTTCAAGCGTCTTATACCTGGAACCATTTTAAGGTAAACTTAGAGAGAATGATATATTTCGTATGCCTAGCACGCAGACGAGCTTTTATAATTTCATAAATGAAAACGGCCTAAATACCTTAACTCGCTTAAAAAATAACGAGCTATAACGAAATGGGCACAGAAATAAAATCTAACATCATTAAATTATTTTTCATATTTGTATAAAAGCGCGGGGTGAAACCCTCGGGGATAAGCTAGCACGTGATAACTCTTAAAATAGTTGCCTATTTTCCAACATAGGTCATAAGCTATCTCTGTGCGAAATGTCATGCCAATTTGTTCAGTCGTTTCCGCGTATTAATTTAATTAAAACTTTTTGAACAGATGGCAACTCTTCCAAAAAATTAGCCTATTTTCCACTGTAGGTCATAAGCTATCTGCTAGCGAAATTTCATGCAAATCCGTTCAAACTTTTCCGCGTATTAATTTAATTAAACTTTTTTAGCAGGTAAAAAAAAGTAGCCTATTTTTCAACCTAGCTCATAAGCGATAGTGAAAACTTCCATGCAAATCAGTTCACTTATTTCCGGGTATTAATTAAACTAAACATTTCTAACAGGTGGCAACTCTTAAAAAAGTAGTCTACTTTCTAACCTAGGTCATAAGCTATCTGTGTGCAAAATTTCATGCAAATCCGTTTAGTCGTTTCCGCGTTTTAACTTAATTAAACTTTTTTAACAGGTGGCAACTCTTAAGAAAAGTAGCCTATTTTCCAATCTAGGTCATAAGCTATATGTGTGCAAATTTTCATGCAAATCCATTCAGTCGTTCCCGCATATTAAATAAATTAAACTTTTTAACAGGTGGCAACTCTTAAAAAATAGC